CATCGACTGCTGTTTCACCCTGAGGACTCAGGAAGCTTCTCTCTGCGAGGGCAGAGGTCCTGGGGGCTGTGGAGTGGACGCTGCAGGCGCTCCACGCGAGACGGGGGAGTGAAGGGTTCCCGGCATGAGCGCTTGCCAGCTCCTCATAGCACTTCCCAGTTTGTAACTGCATGTTTATGTGATTCACGTATTTTGCCTGGAAGGATCCTTGTCCGTATTTGCCAAGAATCCACAGGAGGACAGGATTATGACTCACTCACTCCCTCTGGGTTTGTAATGCACGGCAGGGCGCTTCTTCCAACAAGCATCTGACAAACATTTGCTAAGGGGACGGGAGATGGGTAAACACAAGTGACTTCAGGAGGCTAGAGGCACCCTGCTAGAGTGTGAAAAACCCTTTAGAAGTAACCTCCCTTTTTTTATATCACTGCCTCCTATGTGGCCCAGCTCGTGAAAATCCCTTCCTCGGTTCCTCACAGGGGATGCTACCAACTCAGGGGGCTTCCTCCCCCACTCTATTTCTTTTAACCTTATTTTTAGGTAGTCAATTTTCTCCCTCCAAAGGAAACCTTATAAGGAATTCTGATCCAAAACCAACTAAAAATTGAGTTGATTGGGGTGCAGAGGAAGTAGGGAGAGGTGGAACCCTCACAGGCCCTCCATATATGAGCACCTTAGGTACCCCCGGTGACCCCCTGAGGGTTCCTGATTTGAAGACCCCACCCTGGGGGTCCCAGAGGATCCCCCCAGCTGGGGGATGTGGGCCTCAGAGACTCAGAAGTCAGTGGAACCTAGGCCTTCAGACCTTGACGCAAGACTCAAATGTTGGGGCCACACAGACACCCCAGGAGGTGGCCCACGCAGAATGCAGGTTCCGGCTCTGAAGAGAACTCTCTCTGCATCCCTTGTGTTCAGAGTCAACACATTCCACAGCACTGGGCATCAGGACAAAACACAGTACAACCACATAAGAAAAATAACTTTGTTATTAAGCACATACAGTTTTATCAAAAGTACTTCATAGTATTACATCCATAACTATTTGAATACTAGTGCATCTGTTATATGGACCTGTTATAAATAATGAACAAAACAGCTCTGAAGAATACGAGTCACTGGGCAGCAAAGATCGCCATGACACATGTGACCTGCCCCCCAGGGGACTTGCTGTAGGGGTATAATAAAGAACACCGAGGTACCTGGGGGGCGTGGAAGAGGCCCCTTCCTGTGGTTTCCCTAGAGCACTAATATTGAAGGATCATGTGAAGTCCAAGACTTTACGCTTTGACAATTATGGTCACGGTTGCTTTTTTTTTTTTTTCCTCTCTCAAATGGAAAATCATTTTTTGATTTGTTGTGAAACATACATGCTGACAGTGCCAGCAAAGAATGCATCTAGTTGCCTGAATTCATCACTAATAACTTTGGATGGTTCTATTCTACTAGCGGTTTGGCCCGGGCTCCTGCAAACACATACCTTTTTCAGGAAGGTGACCGGACAGATGTTAAATTTGCACAACGAGGCTGCTGTCTCTCTCTGTGACAGGCTGAAGTGGGGGGACAGGAGGGGAAGTGACACCCAATATATGAGGAGGGATTTGCTGTCACCTCAAGGAGATGTTTGGCACGGAGACTACCTTCCCCTGCATCTCTGGAAACAGGGCTCACAAGGCCAAAGTCGTTACGGATCCTGGGAAGGTAGCATGACCAGAACCGGGGTGGCCTTTGTCTTGTCTGTGGGGGGTTATTCCCCTCCCCCATGCCAATGCACATTAATTATTTAGCTGTTCACCTGTGGACATGCCCGAGGTTATACAGTAGAAATGACTTCAGTTGGTCAATCCATTTTGTGGCAGGTGTTGGAATTCACACAGAAAGGAGAAGACAGTGTCTCCTCTGCCCCCACACCCTTTGGTAGAGTACAGCCTGTCATTTATTCCTCCAGAACTGGGAAGGAAGGAGGATATTCCCAAACTGAAATGTATGCCTACCGGGCACTACTTTCAATCGCAGATTTTCATTCCCATTGCTTGCCCGAAACAGAAGCAACCTCGTAAGTCCTAGTCACAAGCCCTAGTTATCAGGGTGCAAAAAAAAATAAAAAATGGCAGTCATCATTTCTGCTAGAGGTTGAAGAGGCGTGCAAAGACCTTCCCCCCGAACTGGGAAATGGCTTAGTGAAACTAGCAAATTGTATCCCCAAAATGGCTTTTTCCTTTGGTTTTGAGCAGATGGCCTGTTTAGACAGTGTGGCTTTGGTTTTCTATCCATTACTGAAAGATACATTAGAAATAACTGTGCCTTATTATGTCTTGTCTTAGAAAAAATATGATTTGGGCATGCAAAGTACATATTTAGTCCTGCGGTCCTAGTCCAACTTTTGAAAATCTGAGGATGAAAAATGATTTTATAAATGGACCTGATCCAGCAGACTAGATGATAACAGGGAAGTTATTGTGTGTTTTGCTGGAGAACATTATCTAGAAGAGTCTCATGAATATTAATCTCCCAGATATTACTGCTATCAGTTCATTTTTTTAATATATTCACCCCAGCCTCTGTACGTCCAACATGCATTTGCTTAAATTTTACGAGCGTTTAACAATAAAGATTATAGTTCTAAACACAGTTCACTGTTAAGGAAAAGAAAAGGTAATAAAATTCCTCATTTAAAGAAAAAAAAAATCAAAGGCAGACCTAATCTTTTCTCACAAAGTCTGTGCATAATTTTCCTTGGCATCCATCCACCCACACCCTTTGAATCCTATGCTCCAGGAGCAGCCAAACAGTAACTAACGAGATGCCAGATGGGCGGCAACAGCTGCTCAGCTCATTGATTCGTAACCTCGAGCATGGGGAAGCTGCAGAGGGAAGGGATGGTGCTAGGAAAGGTGCTTGTTTTTAGCTCTGACATTTCGGTGGACAGTCCCTGGGGATTTGGGGGGAGGGAGGAGTCAGAGGGAGAGAGAGGGAGGGAGAGAGGGAGGGAGAGAGGGAGAGAGGGAGGGAGGGAGGGAGGGAGGGAGGGAGGGAGGAAGGAAGGAAGGAAGGAAGGAAGGAAGGAAGGAAGGAAGGAAGGAAGGAGGGAGAGGCATGTTTATGGAAAACTGGGCTGCTGGCTGGCTGACCGGAGTCCCGTGTTGCTAACAGAAGGGAAGGAAGGCTGTTGTCGCTCGAGATTCACAAACAGAACCCTTTTTGTCACTGTGAGAGGCTGACAGGTGGCATGCAGACACCAGCAGCAGCCCTCTTGAAACTAGTGTCCCAGGAGGAGTGTTGAGTGATGGGAAAGAAAACAAGGCGCCCATCTCCCAGAAACAGGTCAAGGTCACAGGCTGGGACGTGGAAACCCCGACACGAGCAAACGGGAGTTGTGACAGGACACCTGGCGAGGTTCAGTATGTGGCTGAAGGACTCCCGAGCAGGTGGGCGAAAAGTCATTCTGTGTGTCAAATGAGAACATGAACTTGGAGGAACCTGTAAGCTGCCCATCAAAGCCAGGGGTTCCCCAACAATACTACAAAGGAGGAGGCACTCCTGCTGGCCTTTGGGGCGTTTCCTCCTGCTCCTGTCTCCATGCACCTGAGGAAGCCTTTTCCGGAACCCACTTTCTTCTAGGCCCCCAGGTGTCTAAACAAACAGGGACGGAATGGCGGGTCTGGGAATACACCCCTTTCCAAGGGCTTCTCACTTTGCTGGGAATGGGGAATCGATGAGAAGGCCTATGATAACTTGAACTTGAACTAAATTATGGACAATTAAGGAAAAATTGGACTACTGGGAACAAAATATCTGTCAAACAAGGAAAACCGTTGTTTTCCCCTCCACATCTAGGTGAACTTTCAATAGCGTGCACTTCTCTCTGTTGGCAAGCTTGGCTGCCCCAGATGAGGACTTCTAATTCCCAAGGAGAGCAAACTGATTTGTTTCTGCCAATCAGTGGGGTCCCTGCCCGAGGTTCCCCTTCCCCGCGGCCAACAACCCGAGCCAGCCACCCCCTTCCAGCCCTGAGCCCCATGGTGCACTGACCCAACCCGAATGACACCCCTGGCACCCAGTCAGAACCGAGGAATTTCTGCACCTCTCTCTAAGGGTCAGCCACCCTGGTTCAGCAATAACCTGTGATTTACTGAGCAAGCTCACTCATTCCATCAAGTGGCTGCAAAACATCCTGGCAAACCAGCAGCCCGCTGTCCTAATGGGAATCGGAGACTTTACTCGCCTCTCTCATTATGAACAGAGAACTCGGTTCTGCAGTGATTTCCTTTTCTGAACAGGATACTGATAGGCAAGTGCGGCATGAACAATTAATAGTCCGAGTGGAATTCAGAATGTGGCAACCTACACAACGGTAAATGTGATGACTAATTTTCTCCATCTCCCCTCATCTCTGCTCCTTCTGAACTCTGTATCTTCAGTCGAAACGGGGAAATGAAGTTGGACAAGAGGCCAGAATACTGAAAACCGATGAGATCAACAAGGGAAGAGAATGATCCACCAGAGAAAATGTAATAGTGCCTCCCCCTCGTCACTGAAGAGCCTTATTTTGACACTGAGGAATAATGGTTTCTTTTGGACATATGTCTACTTTTTAAAATAAGTAACCTCACATTTCTTCGGGCTCACCTCACCACTTTTCTCTCTCATTCTGTCAAATTTAAGATACCGGGAGAGTACTTAACTCAGAAACCCAGATGTTGCTTAAAAAATAAATAAATAAAAGAGCAGTTCCAATGTCAACACCCCCACTGCTCTCAGAGGGAGGCCCGTAAATCGATCATGGGCTCCCTCAGGTCTCAGGATGTCTGGCAGGGGCCTCTGAAAAGAGTATTTGGAAGGAAAGAAACAGGGAGAAGGCAGGAAAAGAGGAAAGAAAATACAAGTGTGTCTTGTCTAGGTCTCCAGCGGTGGGTTTTGTATTCTTGTCTTTTGTTCAGATGACTTAACTGCAGGTGTGAAAACTCTTTCCTCTTCCTTTGGCATGAAGTTATTGGCATGTGCTACGGATAAAAGTCTCTGGGGGTCCCCAAGTCTCTTGTGTCGGTCCCCTTCTGGTAGTCGTCTCCAGAGCCCAAGTCCATGGTCTCCGGGGAGCCGGCGAATTCCTGAGGCAAGGGGAAGTCCTCGGCCGAAGAGTAAGGCTGGTGGCGGAACACCTGCTCCTGTAGCTCTGCGATGTCGTTGCGGATGTCGGCCAGGATCAGCAGCAGGAAGTCGAAAGAACCAGGGGGTCCCTGTGTGCAGGACCGCAGTCAGAGCCAGACCCAGACTCAGCCCCTTGCAGACCGAGGTTCCCAGGGCTCCCTCCGTAACTTGCTATTCCCGCTGTGGGCTGGCACCTACGCAGCCAACAACACGTGCCCCAGGTGGAGGAAACAGGGCCTACTCTAGTAGCCCGAGGGGCTCTGCAGATTCCCGTACCTTCTGTATGTCACATTCACCTCTTCCCTCCCAGTTCTAGGCTTTATCAAACCTGGCAGAATGAAATAGGAGAGTAACCTGCCCGGGTGACTTTCCAAAGAAATCTGGAAGATACCATGGAGGCAGAGAGTAGGGGTTAAGAGATTGGGGATCTGTTGGGTTTGAATCTCAGCTCTGCTACTTACTAGCTGGTCTTGGGCAAGTTATTTAATTTCTTTGGGTTTCTGTCTCGCCGTCCATAAAAAAGGGATAATAGTCTCAACGTTAGTGGGTTTTATAGGCTTCCAAGTGAGTATGTAAATGAGTTAATACATGTAAAGGGCTGAGACCATAGTAAACGCTCAAAAATGTTACCTTTTAAAACAAAATTACTAGTGTTTATAAGGATGCCTGACAACAACTGCAACCTAAGAGACGCTTCGAGAACCTCTGCTGCTATGTGAGAACCAGCTGCTCACATCTGCAAATACTCAGATGCACAGCATTACGAAGTCACTGGGTGCTCACTGAAGCGTGGCACATCAGATTCCAGCTGGCTTTGCACAGGTGGGGGAATGGATGCCCAGGGATGCTAAGTGACAGGCCGTGATCAGCCAGCCACAGGTGGAGAGCTGAGATGGGAACCCCGAGCTCCTACCTCTAACGCTAAAGGTCTTTGCCTTTCTTCAGAAATGACACTGACCTCTCCAAAAGCAATGGAGCTGCTTGCATTTCCTGTGCTTTTGGATGCTAGTGATTTTCATTTTTACTCCCCCAGACACCACGCATATATCCAGGTAACTTCTTCTCAGTGGTCCAACTGCCCTGCTCGACTCTGCGCTTTCTGGAGGGGATGGCGGTGGCTACATTGTTACGCATTCAGAGTAAGGACTTAGCCCCTCGGTTTCTTTTCTAGGCTCTTTAGATGTTATGTGACATACCTGAAAACAGACTCATGGCACACTGACGTTTGGAATCTTAAGACATTCCAAGTAAAGATCAGCCATGATAAAAGAAAAAGCAACAGAAGACAAATTTCCAGAATCGATTCTAAGCAGCCGCTGGAGGCCTGGTGATTTTCCTCCTAACGCCCTCGTCCGGTCAGCGCGCTGAGGGACAGCTGGGAAAGCTAGCTTTGCTAACCAGACCACCTCCCAGGGCTCTCAGCGCCGCCTCTCTGCGAGGTCCCCACTGCTACTTACCGGAGACCCTCGGGGTCCAGGTGATCCCCTCTCCCCCTAAGAACAGAAAGGTCAGGGTTAGCTTCCTGGACCACGTGGATGCCACCACCACCGTTCCTACGTTTACACTCCCCCCACGACCATCTCCTTGCCCAAAACATCTCCTTGCCCAAAACAACAGACATTTTCCATCGGAAACTAAAGCAAGCGGAGGCTGGGCGCACGGGGCAGCTTATTTGAACAGAACTGCCTGGGTCAAGTGCTTCTCATTCAGGCTTCCTCTGCAGACAGGAGGAATGCTTGTATTTCCAGGCCGTGTGTGGAAACATTCAGGAGCTTCCTCGAGTCACTCACACTGACTTTACGAGGCAAGTGGCAGGCCGCTCCCAAAGTGAACCCCCGCCCCACGTGCACAGAATGGACCTTCTGCTCTCACTTAAACACACTGCACGCAGACTCGCCCTACAGAACACTGGCTGCACAGAACCACACGGGCTCCCGGGCAGCACAGAGGCTTCTTCAAGACTCACAAGAGTCACCCCCGCCCCCTAGGAGTGGTTTCGGTGGTTGTTTTGTTATTATGGGTGTTTCATATTTTAAGGAAATTGCTGTTTAGATTTCCATCCCAGCTTGGAGGGAAAAGTATGTCTTGTCTCAGTTTTGCCTGCGAAATGGGGACAGCAGACAGCGCTTGAGCGTTACGAACGGAGACCTCCGGCTTTTAGGGACCACCCGTTAGACGTACCTTGGAGCCATCTCTTCCCGGAGCCCCTGGTGGGCCCTACAAGACAAAGGGGTTAGTTCAACAGAAGGAAAAAGCAGGCACAAAAATACAATTTCCTTAACAACAGTAAGTGGATTTCTGAGAAAATACTGACCACAGGCCCCCTCCGGCCTTGCTTAACGTGGGACAGATCCGGAGATGGCCCCATGGGCCCCATGGAGCCCCGGGGGCCGGGCTGCCCAGGAGGGCCTGGCGTACCGGGGAAGCCGGGGCTGCCCTTGGGTCCCGGCGAGCCTGCAATGGAAGAACAGCTCTTCAGCTCCACATCCGGGGAGGGGACAAGGACACAGCTCACAGGAGGCGGGAACCCTGCAGCCGCTTCCCTGGCACTCTGCCCTCTGCCCTCTGCACCCCCCACTGGGATGGCCCACTCTGTTGTCAACTTAACCCCGACTAAGTGGACTTCCCCCCTTCCTCTTGGATCATGGACCACCAGTCACTTGTCCATTCCAGCCAGAATCATGAGAGTCTTCCTGCAGATTTTCCTGTCCCACCATCCCCTTGTCCCCTCGGTGACCAGTTCCTACACATTTTACCTTGTTCTCTTCTCTTCTCAAGGTCGGTTCCTCCGTATCCCCTCAGGCACAGCAGGGTGGTGGTTACCACACCCCGACAGTGGCCAAGAGCACAGGCTCAGCGTCCGAGACCTAGGTCTGAATCCTGACAAGCTGCTTGACCTTTCACCCTTAGTTTCTCGTCTGTAAAGCTGGGCTAACAAAGTCTCCCTTGTAGAGTGGCCATGAATATTAAATGAGATTAAAAATTTTTTTTTTAATCCTCACCCAAGGATATTTTTCCATTGATTTTTAGATAGAGTGGAAGAAAGGGAGGGAGGGGGAGAGAGAGAGAAATATCAATGTGAGAGAGACACATCCATTGGTTGCCTCCCGAATGACCCTGACAGGGGCTGGGGATGAAACCTGCAACCCAGGTATGTGTCCTTGACTGGGAATCGAACCCAAGACTCTTTGGCAAATGCTCTAATCACTGAGCCAAAATGGTCAGGGCTTAAATGAGATTTTAGATACACACACACATCACTCAGCCTAGCACCTCACACATAAAAGCACTAAAAACACAAACAAAAAAACCCCAAATAAAACTGTTAGGCTTTTCTTGAATAATTAAGCCAAAGTTAAAGACAGTCACTGTTCCACTCACACCTGTTTCACACCCCTACTCTCAAGGCTGGTTGCAGATACATCCTGAAAGAACTTACTTGGGATGGAGACCAGATCTCTCCTATAACTAAATACTCTACTTCTAATAGCACAAGGACAGGCCAGAGACAATATCTTACCTTCACTTTCACAATCAATGAACTTCAGAGACCACTGTATGTCAAATACTTTTAAATGTGGGGCTTTGGTGTGAAAATGGTACCACATAACAGTGGGGGGCCAGAGAGCAGCAGCCATCTCCTCACCCCCAAAGCCAAAAGCTTCCAGCTTGATGTAGTTCCCTGTGTTGGTGCCCCAATCAATCATAGGCCTGGGGGCTGGACTTTTGGTTGAGAGTAAGAGAAACCTTATTAGTTCTCTAGCTGCCCTAACACCTCTCAAAGAAGGGCATCACAAACTGATGCTAGAAGTAAGGAATGGGCAAGAGACAGGATTGGAGGAGAAAGCAAAGCTAAAGCTAGTCCTCAATCACCTGCTCCATCAAGGACCCTGGACAGCTCAAACCATATTAGAAACCAGATGGTGGACTGGAAAGGAAAGCCAGCGAGTCATTTAGGAAGACAGCCAGCCCCTGTTCCTAGTGTGTCCTCGCTGGAGTGACAGGTAGACTGGCCTAGAGGTGAACCTTGCTGTCTGTATAGACAGACCCAAGCCATCAGTGTGTGATGGGAACCAGGAGATTAAGACATAAGTAGAGAAGAAAACCCATCATAGTTAGGGAAGAATTTTGAGCTCTTTCTCACGGACCTTACAACCTAAAATCTGCCGTGTCCTTCCTGCTTGGAGAGATCCTACCAGTGTTTCACGTGCAGCTCAAACCCCAAGCGCCCGATCAGGCTCCCTCTCCTCCTCAAGCCCCAGAGCAGGCAGCACGGTGCACTTGGGCATGCGCACACTGCTTTACCCTATTTGCCTTCGCTCTGGGTGTCTCGTCTTCCCAACAGAATGTCAGGAGGTCACTCACAACACCTAGCACACTGCTGAGCAATGACATGCAGGGACAGAACACTCTATGCTTAGAACCATTTGCTAATGTCCATGTCATTTCCTTTACTGGTGAAAAAAAACCCTATTGTTCTATCTATCTATGGAGGGAATCATAACAAAACAAAATATACTATAACATCCTGTAACTTTTTTAAAAAGTTCTCATTGCATGTATCCTGATGAAATGATAGAACAGTTGGGATTTTCTTTGAAGTGATAAGGACGAATCTCCAAAACAGCATGGCAAATGAGAAAAGCCAGGCAAGAGGAATACACACTATGAAACTCATTGCTATGACATCCTAGAACAGACACAACTGTAGTGACAGAAAGCAAGTCAGTGGTTGCCTCGAGCCAGGGATGGGGGAGGAGAGTGCTAAGGCACAAGGGATGTTCCTGGGTGATGGAAATGTGCCCCGTCTTGCTATAGATATAGGTACAGCGTGGTGGTGCATGCGTGCTAGATGTAGGAGATGTACACATGTGTCATAAGTTGTGATTTAAATGGATCCTTTTATTGTATATAATTGTATCTCAACAGTGTTGACTTAGAAAGAACAAATATGTATGTAAATGCATTTTCATTGTGTTTCTCTGTAACTTAAAACGACCTCTAAGAATGTTATCCAAGCCTAGGACAATGACCCTTTTCTCCCCAAGGCCCAAGGCCCTCACGTCACAGAGGTGTGGGTGCTCCTGGGTTCTTGCTTCAGCTCTCATCCATGGAAGTCAGAGACCTCCGTGTGGCCCCCACTCACTGTGAGCTCTTGGAAGGCCTTGGTGGTGACTGTCACCCTCCCATGCCCTTGTCCACACTCACCAGGAGGGCCCTGGCCCCCTGGCAGGCCAGGAGGTCCTGGGAGGTAGGTGTTGGAGGCCAGCGCCTTGTCGCCAGCATTGTGCTTGCCCAGGTCTGCAGCACTGTTGGGGAGCAGGGAGATCTGCAGAGAGAAGAGGCACCTGGGTCAGGAAGCGACATCTCTGTTCGCACTGTGTTTGCAGAGCCCGCGAAGCCTTTTCACGATCAGTTCCCTTCATTAGAGCCAGTTACAGCTCCGAGGGACCACAGAGATCCTCCTTCTACACCCAGAATTCCAGTAAAAACACCTTGCATGGACCCCTCGGCCAGCAGGCAGGCAGACCTGGATCGGCTGCAAATAGCCTAGACATCACCACCGGACGCATTATCCCATAATGAGTGCAATCTGCCCACGCCAGACTTTCAACTCGTTACTTTATGTCTCAAACATTTATTGTGGTCCTGTGCTTGGTCCTAAGGTGACATTAGTGACCAAGACACGGTCACTGTTCTTAAAGATGGCTCAGCCTTGGGAGCCAGGACCAAGCATGTGGCCTACATGTGCAGGTGCTAGGGAGCTAGTGGGAACCAGTGACTGTGATGTTTTTTTTTTTTTTTAATCCTCACCCTAGGACATTTTTCCATTTTTTGTTCAGCTAGAGCGAGAGGGAGAGAGAGGAAGAGAGAGAGAGAGAAACATCGATGTGAAGGGACACATCGAGTGGCTGCCACCCGCACGACCAACCAGGGCCGGGGATAAACTGCAACCGAGGTACGTGCCCTTAGCGGGAACCGAACCCGGGTCTCTCTGTACTGCAGGCTGATGCTCCAACCGCTGAGCCAAACCGGCCAGGGCAGTGACTGTGATGGTTTTAAAATATGTCCACAAATGTGACAGTCCCGCCTTCAAAAAAATGGAGGCTCATTTCCCCGCCTCTGAGTGTGGGCTGGTCCTAGAGATGTGCTTCTAATGAATAGAAAATGCCAATGTGCAACTTCTGGGATCAGGTCACACAAGGCGCTGTGGCCTCCTCTTTGCGCTCTCTTGGATTTTAGGGGCTTGCTCTAGGGGAAGCCAGAGGGACCCACCAATGAATGACCTTCGCATTCCTGAGGTAAGAACTGAATGCTACCACCTCCATTTCCTCTCTGACATCACAATGACCCCACCTTGAGGGCTGTGAGGATCACATGAGGAAATGTACTTTGACGCCCAGCACCGAACCTGGAACATACAAGAGCCTGAAAAATGGTATCCTAATCTTTTCCTTCCAAGAAGCCAAGTATGGTGTAAAACCCAGTAGAAAAGGACACATTTCTGAGGGACAGAGCAACCCCCTGACGACCTGGAACCTGGAGTCTGCAGGAACCAGGATCTCAGCAGCTTTCTGAAGAAAGTGGCATTGTCCCCACATCCTCCTGGACCAGGTCCTTCCCAGAGGGCAACTCAAGCGAGGAGAAGGCACCCAGCAATCTCATCCTTGCCTCTGGAGTGCCCTGAGGCCCTGTACCCATCTTGGATCTGACTTTTTGGGAGAGGTACCTACGACCCGTGCATGACTGGAGGTGGCCAGCTGCCACTGTGACCAAGTCGTGCCCTGCGGAGTTCAAGGTCAGCACAAAGCACTAAATTAAAAAGTGTGCAACGCTCTCCGTCTGAGGCTTCTGCCAACTTGGAATCACAGCTTCCGGGTGGACGCTGATTTGCATGCCCATGGGTATTTACTTATTTATTTCCACCTTCATGGGCAAGTTGGCATTTCTCACATGGGGGTTCCTCTCTCAGGGATCTCCTCATATCCCAAGACTCTAGAGCCCCCAGGGAAGCTCCGACGCAGCGAGGAAAGCCCGCTCCGCCAACCATGGCACAAACCAGCATCTGGGATTTCAGGCTCCCTGTCGGCGATTAGGGCACCTGGCTTCATATAACAGCAGGAAAATGGAGAAGGTGATCATGAGGTCTGGAAGCTCCAAGCCTAGGCCTGGGCGTGAGCTACAAAACGTGTCTACTGAACTGCAGTGAGGATACCAGGCTGCGGATGGTGACAGGCAGGCCTGGGGAGGTTCTGCTGGCCAAGGTGGTGTTCCCTGGCTCCGGAAGGTCCTGTCTCCGGCACTAGTGTCTATTTCTGAGCATGGAAGTTTCGTACGCCTGTTATGAAACATGATTCCGATGGAGACCCCTGGCCAGGATCTCCTTCTCCTGCTGGGTGGCCGCTGGGTTAGGGGCCAGCTTGATCCAGCTACAGAAACTAAAGATTTTTCCTAGCCTCAGAGACAGATATTCTTGCCAATGGAAGAAATCCATTATTTATTTATTTATTTTTAAACCTCACCCGAGGACATTTTTCCATTTTTTGTTCAGAGAGGGAGGGAGGGAGGGAGGGAGAGAGAGACATTGACATGAAAGGCACACATCGAGTGCCTGCCACCCACACAACCCAACAAGGGCTGGGGACAAACTGCAACCAAGGTACGTGCCCTTAGCGAGAACCGAACCCGGGTCTCTCTGGACCACAGGCTGACAATCTAACTGCTGAGCCAAACCGGCCAGGGCAAGAAATCCATTATTGATGAAAAACGAACATCGTGATAATACGTGGTTTGACTTTGGTCAACAACTTTGACCTGACACGTTAGAGAATGAATCCTCCCGTTTCCTCTTCAAGGTGCCTGCCTGGTCCTGCATCCAGTTAGCTCCTTAACAGAAGCACTTGGGATTTTTCTAAAGGTGAAAATCACGGGAAACCGCAGAGGCTTTCGGCAGGAGACATGGACCCTGCAGGCTGGCATGGAGATCCGGTAGAGCCACGGGGCGAGGGTTCCCCTGCTGTCTCATAGGCCCGCGAAGCACGAGTCAGGCCCTTTGGGGTCAAGGTCCTATTCCCGCTTCAGCTGTCCTCCTGGTGACCTGTTTAAACCTGGGATGCTCCACAGCCTGGAACTTCAAAGAAGCATCAACACTGTCTTCCGAAGGGTCCCTCCGCACCCTTAGCACTTGTGCGCACGCCCTCCTAGGCAGCTTGGGGGCCCTTTAGCTAGAATTAAAACCCTTGGGTAAAAACAGCCTTGCGGGTCCATGAGCTAGGAGATTCCTGCCCACCCACTGCCTTCCTCCAAGCTCTGAGAAGACCTAGTGTTTCCCTGAGAGATGCAAGGTACTCAGTTCCCCTGTAACCACGACTCAGAATCCAGTAAGGGTGAGCATTGGAATTAAAATCTTGTGCAACCTGAAAGTCAGAATTGCACAATTTCTGGTCGGGGATCACGTTTCAAAGTCACCACCAGGCCCCAGCTGTGTTCTAGGAGTGTATGTGCAATGGTGCTGATATCTGATGTCACTGTGTCCCAGCAAGCGGCGGCCTCTACCTGCAGGTGCGTGCCTATGGTCCTGGGTGGCCTGGGAGCGGGCCGGTGGAGGATGGAAATTTACAAGCAAGTCGACTCTGACTGGGGGACGGAGGGTCAACGCTGGCAGCTGGTCTGGCCCAACTTTACCATCCGCTTCCCAGAGAAAAACTGCACTGTGGGCCCCACTGGTGGACTTGGACATTAGGCAGACTTCTGGTTACATCTCAGCCCAGCCACTTTTGACCTGTGGGATCTTGGGTAAGCACACAACCTGGATTTCCTCACCTCTAAAATGAGAATCGTAACAGCCACCTAGGCAGACTGTGGGGAGGGGGAGGGTGATGTTGTCTTTAATGCACCTGGCCCAGCGCCCCGCCTCAGGCCCACCAGCAGCCAGCACCATGGACACAGTGGCGATGCTCTGCCCAGGGGCGGCTGTTTCTAAGGAGCTGTGTGACTCTGGGAGGTCCCTTTACCCTCCCCGTTTCCCAGCTTCATGTCTACAAAATGAGAGGTCGGGACCAGACTGAAATCCTGCCTTTCGATGTAAAATGGTGTAAGCAAGCCTGGAGGAGAACTGCACGCGGGGACTTGCGGGGTGCTCCCTGGTGCCCTTCCCAGCCCTCTGCTCTGCTAGCTCCCTCCTGAAGGCCAGCAGGTGATCCAGTACACGTGGCCCGGACCCCCAGCGGCCGCCTGCTGGGTAACTCCGCCCTGGCCCCCCACCAGCTCCTCTCTGCATCGGCCCCAGTGGGAAGCAAAGGTTTGGCTTTGGCGGCAGCTGGCCAGAGTCCCTGGCTTGACTTGCTGTCCAAACACAAAAGAGAACGAGCTTGTGGGATGCAGGTGTTTGGGAAGAAAGTTGTAGGACTGGGAGAAGACTCTGCATTTTTCCTGGATTCCATTCAGTGGAATTGTGACTCTCATGACCTCCCATTAGACCTGTTGGTGTGAATCAGTTAGATGCTGCCCGTGAAGGACCTAAACAACCTTACTCATGTGGTGAACATTCACAGAGCAGGTACCGCTCTAGTCCTTTATACACATCAATGCATTTTGTCAGCATGAAAACCCTATGCAGGAGGGATTATTATCATCCCCTTTTTATAGAACTGAGGCACAGAGAGGTTAAGTAACTTACCCAGGGCCACAGAGCCAGCAAGTGATGCAACTTGGATTTAAACTTAGCCACTCTGATTCCGGAGTCTATGTTCCTAACCAGTGCACCAAGCTGCCTAGTATTAGCGATAACCCAATAATTCCAAGAAGACCCATTTTAGAGCCCCGAGATCAAGGTGGGAAGTCCCAGGCTTCCGAGAAGCCACACATCTGCCTGCATAAAGGCAGCGCTAGAGTGAGCACAGGCAGCCCTCGGCTCGCAGACCTGCTCCCACTTTTGAAACCGCATTGCCCCCCGACTGCTGAGTGCCTGCCCCACTCCGCTTGGCAGCCGCTGATCGAAGGCAAGACTTCATTCCACACTGGGTTGGAGTCCTCACCTCCCAGCCCACCGCAGGGCAGAGCAGGTGCTCAACGAGCTTCCGGAACCACTACTCACGCTCCCTTCAACTGCTCGCAGCAACGCCACTCGCGGACACGACAGTCCCTGCAGCAGGGACAGAGCGGCGTCTGAAAACAGGCTCCTTGGCTCCGTCTTTCCTCCTTGCTCTCGCGGACCTGAGACACTTCTCTGCAAGTTCAATGATGGCTATCTGATGTAGCCCTAAACCTCTCTTTCTAGCCAAGTCGCCTAGTTTCCCCCTCAAACCAGGAAGAAAGTGTGGCACAGAGGCACTGGGGCCTGCACACCACGTTAAAAAGCTTGTGATTGGAAAACAAAAGCATGCAATCTGGAAATCCCAGAGAACAAATCTAGCCCAGCAGATTATCCTAAGGCGAGCACCCTCTGAATGAATACCTGAGTGAAAAACAGAACTTGGTCACTTGCCGGAAGACTGTTCATGTGTCCTGACCCAATTAGTCTCCTCCTTCCCCCCAAAGCAACCACTGTCCTGATTTTTATCACTTCCCGTGTTTTAAAAAAATAATGTATTGCCCAACTGTGCATGCCTGAACGCTATTAGCCTTGTCCATTTAAAAAAGATGTTCTTTAAGTCCCTTTAAATCTGCAGGTCCACCTCTTTCTTTGCCTTACACTTGACCCTTTGAAGAACCCAGGCCTTTGCTCTGTGGGGTTTCCTGGGGCTGGGGTCTGGCTGACCGTGCCCTCAGAGTGCAGTTCAACGCGTCAGCATACCATTTTACACTGTGGGCTTGGCTACAGTCCAGGACACCAGTACCACTTCTTAGTTAGTGTTCATTTGGACAGATGTCCTATGTTCTTTTTTTGTGCAGAAGAGACGGCAGCAGGAGTAGAGAGATAAAGTTAAAAGCCAACTGACCATCCCAACACCAGCAGGAGTGAGAAAACATGGGATGTAGGTCCTCATGGGCAGTGACTGCACCTCCTGGAGAATATCAGCCACCTTCTCACAGGGTCACGGTGAGAAGGCAAGGAGATCCTGGCCATAAAATGACTTTATAGCCCTGGCCGGTTTGGCTCAGCAGTTGGAGCGTCGGCCTGTGGACCAGAAAGTCCCGGGTTCACTTCCCGCTAAGGGCACGTACCTTGGTTGCAGTTTGTCCCTGGCCCCAGTTGGGGTCATGTGGGTGGCAACCACTTGATGTGTCTCTCTCGCATCGATGTTTCTCTCTCTTTCTTCCTCCGTCTCTCCCTCCCGCTGTAACTGAAGGTAAATGCAAAAATGTCCTCAGGTAAGGATTTAAAAAAATGACTTTATAAACTGCATAATGCAACACATTCTACTAGGCACCTTTGAAAATGAGTTGCTCCTCAAAAAGTGCCTCGAACATCAGCATGAGCCCAGAGTTGCCACGTGCATTTGTAGGAGAATCACGAACAAGGCGGACCAATCCCAGCCCCACCCAACTGCACGAGGGTTCTTGGAGTTCTAAGAAGAACCTGCCATGATGCGTACGGGGCTCTGCACTGGGTCTTGAAGGATGACAGGTGTTGTGACACAGACGTCCGACTTCTTTTAATATTTCTTCTTTCACGGAACGGAAAGCATTGCAAGGAAGTTATGAGAAAACCAGATGTTGACTTAGCAACAAAATTTCTGAGCAACGTGTGAGACGCAGCAGCCCCGATTCTGAAGCTCGCCCAGGCTGGGAAGAGCCGCGCTGTCGCTCTCGCAGCACTGACTGCTCAGGAGAGGAGGCAGGTGGCTTAGGTCTTGAGACTGGTCAGCTTCCTCCCCCGAGCCCTAATCCTCTGAACTACGAAACGCAAATTTACTTCTTCTGTGAAACTTTTCTTGGATTCGTTCAATACCAGTGTCAACCCATGTTCAAGCTGGTGGGGTGTGGGGGGATGCAGGTATATTTCTGTGTTTATACACCTGCAAGGCTCTCTGCCTCCCTACTGGATCACAACCTGTCTAGAACCATGACTGTATTGTCTGTGCCTGTGCTAAAATTGATAGATTCCCACCAAACATGTAAGAAAGGCCTGCATGTTTGTGGAACACGGAAAAGCAACATTGTCTTATGCTTACTCTTTTGCCCTTTAGAATAACTAAATGCCAAAGTTCAACGATCGTCCACACCTCTTTGATGCCGAATGGGAGCGATGAAATAAACAAACCAGTATTCTTATGTTCTGGCAGCATAAGAGCCACCTGTGAGACGCGGGCAAACGGGTGAACGGGTGGCCTGCTGACCGTAGTAGAAACAATGCCATCAATCTGGGGGAGGGCATTTGACCAGGAAATCAGGTCACCAGCTCCATCACAAGGGCATTGCTCACAGGGCACTGACGTTACCAGAAATCTGATATTCTGCCAACATGCATGGGAGACTTTCAGAGAGTCAGCCCGCACCATCAGTGACATGGGGTACCCAAATGGTTTTTTTCTGAGGTGCATGGAGTCCAGACAAAGCACAGGTTATACTTTTTAAAATCCTCACCCAAGGATTATTTTAGAGAGAGAGGAAGGGAGAGGGAGGGAGAGAGAAACACTGATGTGAGAAAGAAACATCGATTGGCTGCCTCCCGTATGAGCCCCAACTGGGGATTGAACTCGCAACCCAGGTATGTGCCCTGACCAGAAATCGAACCTATGACCTTTCCATGTATGGGATGATGTTCCAACCAACTGAGCCACCTGGCCAGGGCTATAATTTTTAAATGTGAAAAATAAAGCCACTACAGAAATTCACCATCAGCTTCTGGAAGTTTATAAAGAGGATGTTCTTTATTGATAAAATATAGACAAATTATCAGATAAAAATGGAATCGCCTATGTTTGCCCCAGGGCCATGCTTCTGGTTGATCATTTTACAAAAAGTCACAATAGTCACAGTTCACTCTCCACAACTTTACCATGTGCCCCTTACCTAGGGGTCTATTTTATTTTATTATTATTTTTAATCCTCACCCGAGTACTTCTTTCCATTTTTGTTCAGATAGAGTGGGAGGGAGAGAGAGGAAGAGAGAGAGAGAGAGAAACATCGACGTGAAAGGGACACATCAAGTGGCTGCCTCCCGCACAACCCCACCCAGGGCCGGGGACGGACCGCAACCGAGGTACGTGCTGTTGACCGGAATCGAACCCACGACTCATTGGTCCACAGGCCGACGCTCTAACCGCTGAGCCAAACCAGCTGGGGCTAGGTGTCTGTTTTAATAGTCACCCCCTGCCTTCATTGCATTCTGTTGCCCCTTAGACGGTCAGCTCTGAGGGTGGTGGGCAAAGCATCCCAGTCTAAGCCTCGTTGGCACCAACCTCAGTGAACGCTCAACGAGGTTGCGGATTTATTTCCTTCTTGTTTCTACACATTCTTCCATATGATGTCTGGCAGGCCCTCCGATTCTGTGACTGTTTCTAATGCCTCTGATTTTGTGACTGTTTCTAATGCCCCACACATACCTTTTGCTTCAGCTGCAGCACGGTCTGCTTCATCTGGTGAAACTCCTTGCACGAAGCACAGCAGGTGCCGGCCCTCACCGCATTCTCGGCCTTCTCGTCGTGCCCTGAGGGAGGAGACGCTGTGGTCCATCTGGGAGGCCGGACACCCAGCCCCGCAGACGGCATCACGAGAGGCAGGCCTGGGTGGACGGCTGGCCGTGGAACGTTCGAGGGATTTATGGTTCTCAGGGGCACTGGCAGCACACCCTGGTCGAGGAGAGAGGGAGAGGGACCTCTCTCTGTTTTGGGCTCAGCTGTTCCCAGTTAGGCATCCCAGCCTCCTTCTCTTTCATGTGGGAAAATGTGAACCCTGGCCCTTTTATCAGGACTTTCTGGGAGACAGGCTGCATGGATGTGACATGATTTATACTCCCCTCCAAAGGCCCATGTTCACACGCCATAAATTACCCCCCCAGCTCAGCAGGGGGCCTCACATGCAGGACTCACAGAGCTAGTCCTTATCACTGCCCGGCATCCACCTGATCAAAGGCAGCACGGCCAGGCCAGGCGGGGCACAGATCAGGGCCGGGCTGACCTCCAAGTGGCGATGTAAAGCTGGGATAGAAAACGTGCCAGGCATTCTGGACACGCCCACCCGGGGCAAGTGGAACAGGCCCAAGAAGGCCCTCGGCCGCCCACCGGGAAGGGTCCCTGTGCCATCTCCTAGGGCACTGGGTGCTCCAAGGGCTTTCTGTAAAGTCATCTTTTGCCAAGGAAAGAATGGGTGAATTAAACGGTGCCATGGCCAACAATTCACACAGTTCTCATCCTACTGGCAACACACACTGTGTGCTGGGGGACTAGCCCCCGGAGGTCACCTTGCTTCTGATGAGTAGGTGAAGACTCCCGAGGGCTGTGCACCAGGCAGCAGTGGTGTGGGCCAGGACTGGGTGACAGGCTGTGCGAGCATTTTGTTGGGGTGGACAGGACATTGTGACACCTGTAAGTGGGAACCTTCCTCGCTGAGAAGGCCTGTGGTGCTGGGCCAGGTGTGCTGCTTGTGTGACAGATAACACGCTATCTGGCCTGTAGCTCGGGACAGTAGAGTACTGTCTCCCCCAAGTCCTTTCTGGCGGCCCCCCTGCTTTCCTTCGTTATCCTCTCTTCTGGGGACCCCCTCTGCTGCCTCCATTCATGGAATTCTACCAACGAGCACGGCCCCACTTGAGCGTTCGCCCCAGAGGCCCGTGCCAGCGCAGTTCTAGCGAAGCCCCCCAAGTGCCTGAAGCACGCTCCCCGCTCCAGGAACAGCGGCCTTGGAGCCGGAAATGCCCGGCCTGTTTTCTGTCCCTTTCCGAAATGATCAGAACAGAGATCAAGATGAACTTTGTCCCAAAGACTTCGGAAGCTCTCACAGACAGAGAAACAGGAGTGTAAGCTCTGGTGGAGTCTGATGATCGGGGCTGAGCCCTGAGGTCGCCCTGAAGTCACAGCTTCTCTGAGCATCTGCTCCTTGAAATGCAAAACAACAAGGGGACTTACCAGCTGGGATTGCTGTGAGGTGTCAATTACACATTCCCAGGACAGTGCCCGGTGCATGACAAATGCTCCAGAAATGTTAATGCGATGCCATTGCTGGCATCTTTTTAAAAAGTAAGTTACCTACAACATGGCAGATGTCTTTCCTTTGGAGAGAGCTCTCAGAGGATTGACGGTAAGTAACTGTGTAGATCGGAGTGTGCATTGTGTTCTGAACTGGAGCTCATCCACTCTGCCATCTGTCCACAGACCTGTCAAATGTGGAGCTAAAATAATCCTGCATGCGCTACATTCGTAATTCATTTAGAAACCTCGGTGACATCTTTGACTTTGTGTTCATCCTCTCAATGTAGCCATTGAGTGTCTCTGACCGTGACCACGTTGAGTGAGGTATCGCTTAACATACTGCTCCAACCTGTCCCAGTTTTAAAGGTGCAATATTATCAATTAGCCACACGGGGGCAGAGAGCTCTCGTTTCTCCGGATGTTGAGCAGGGCATACATACATCCTAAGCATTAGAAACAGAATTCCTTACGTACCATATTAGTAATATTTAATAAACTTAGACAAACTAAAGAATGTTTCTAACATACTTCACACGAGCAGTGTCACAAGCAAACAAAGCATGTTTGTTTTTAAAAGTCGACGGCGCAGATGTGTGCCCTGGAAGCAGTTCTCAACCCTGGTGGCACATTACAACCACTTGGGAGGCTTTAAAAAATCCTGCTGACCATGTTGCACCCCACCCAACTGGGAGTCACAGCAGGGGGATGGTATCCAAATTGTTTAAAGCCCCTGCCCAGGTTGAGAAGCACTGATCTATGGATTAGTGGAGCTTGAAAGTGATATGAAACACCTGGCTGTCCCTGACACTTTGAACTGTACCAAGTGACACTGGGGGTCATGGTCACTTTATCAGAAAGCAAACAAAAGTTGATAAATAGAGACCCATAAGCTAATGACTATGGAGCCAACATGTCCTTACTGCGTCTCCTCCTGAGGGCTACACAGACTCCAGCCGCACCCGTTCAGAGAGAGAATCACAGTGACCGAGCGAGCGGTGCTCAGCCAGCCGAGCCACCACGCCCGTGTGCACGGCAACCCGCCCTTCCGCCCTCCGCCCGCTCTCTGGACAAAGGGCTGAGGCTGTGCTCAGTTTTCAATTCCTCTGACTCACGTTACAGACATTGGACAATGCAAAGTCAAAATAAAAAAAACCAGGAGGAGGAAAGGAGTTTTCGATCATGTGTTTATACTTAATAATCATTACCTCCTCATCAAAAAAAAAAAAGACCGTGATGAAATATTCAGCTCATTAATTAGTCCAAAACAGATGAAACCACTTAGCTGCCTCTGCTGTTCCTGGTCCAGGGCTCGCCTGGCCCCTAACTTTTCTCATTGCTAAGCTGACTGGCTGGATGCTGACTGCTCGTCTTTCAGGTACAGTGAGCTCTCTGTGTTGGTGGTGCAGTGGGGCACGGGTTGGAGTCCTGGCACTCGTTACACAAAGGACAAAGTCACCACACAGGGACTCACAGGGCTGGCAGGGCTTACTGCTTTTACTGAGGCAATATCACACCAAACTGCATAAAACATCTGCAAGGGCAAAAGGGTCTTCAGAGCTCCCCTCGTCCCACCCTCTTGTCTACAGAGCAGAAAACTGAGGCCCTGGAGATGCGTCCAATGACACTTAGCTGGTTAATACTAAAAAAAAAAGTCGTGCCTGGCCGGTTTGGCTCAGCGGTTAGAGTGTCGGCCTGTGGTCCAGAGAGACCTGGGTTCAGTTCCCGCTAAGGGCACGTACCTCGGTTGCAATTTGTCCCCGGCCCTGGTTGGTCGTGTGGGTGGCAGCCACTCGATGTGTCCCTTTCACATCGATGTTTCTCTCTCTCTCCTCTCTCTGTTCCTCTTTCTCCCTCCACTCTACCTGAACAAAAAAAATGTCCTCGGGAAAAACAATTAAAAAAAAAGTCCTCCTTCAACCCCTGCTTCCAGCACCTCTGGGCACGTGGGCCCACAGGTGTCAGGCTTTCAATAATTTTCACAGGGCTCTCCACAGGATTCATCCACATTATCCAAACTGCCCAGTTCTGAGCTGGCTCCAGAGACACATTTTGCCTCTACTTCTAACACATGGTGGCTTCCTCGTGACTCCACCGGTTCCTCATAATTTTACTTTGTGGTTAAGTTTTTCCCGTGTGAGAAAGTTGGTCCCCGGCTGTTGGCTGTGCCGAGCTGATGGCAATTGCCTTCCACCCCTTTTTGAACCTCAGACTACAGCCCCGAATCACTAACGAGCTCCTGAGCGCCCAGACAGTTCTGGCTCTTGGTCTCCCTGCATTTCTTGGCACCCAGGATCCACCCATTTCCTCTCCCACAGATGGCCCCAGGCCCAGGTAGCCTCCCCACGGATAGCCACCCTGCCACTTCCTCTCCCAGAGGTGACGGGAGATCTGAGCCTGAGCTCTGGACGATGACAGCTTCCTGGCCTTGTAAGCCTTGGACACAGGAGCACAAGTGCCCTCCCTTCCCCTCCCCTTACCCTCCCTTACCCCCTTCCCTCCCTCCCCCTCCAAACTTAAAGTAGCAGCCCAGTATCCAAGCTGATCATAGCCCTGAGCCTTCTGATATCTCTGTTCAATCAGTTTCTCAAATGCTGCAGAGAAAGGCCAGCTTTTAGAGAGAGAGGAAGGGAGAGGGAGAGAGAGATAGAGACGTCAATGAGAGAGAACACTGATTGGCTGGCCGGCTCCCCACTGGGGATCTGGCCCACAACCTGGGCATGTGCCCTAACCGGGAATTGAACCGGCGACCTCTTGGTACATGGGTCGACACTCCACCACTGAGTCACACCAGCTGGGCAGAAAAGTCCAGCTTTTAAAACTTTTCCACTTCACTGTGATTGTATTTGCAAAATACACTAAAAATAAATTACTAGAAAAATAAGGCATAAAATAGCAGCAGAAATTCCTGGATTTAGACAAGACTTCTCTCTCAAACTGGAGGAAAATTTTCTAAACACTCTCAACTTCTGCTTCTATGCAGTCATGAACCAAACCACAAAAGTGCATCGCAGGCCCAGAGCCATGGACTATACACTCTGGGCAGCATGGATGCAGACCGTTACCTTACATGGAAATGTTTCCTATTTATATTCAGCCCATTGTCTCCGAGAGAACACAGTGTTTCTGCCTCTTCTTGCGCATCCTAGTTTGGTCTAAGCATGTAACTAAGGTCTACCGATTTCCCCCTGCGCACACCTCCCGCTCGGTGGGAGCTTCCTCCCCACGCCGGCTCACCACCCTGCAGCTCTCGGGCGTTGCTCTCACCAGGGCTCTTTGGAAGAGGGTGGACCTGACCCAGGTCCCACCTGCCGTTCATATAAATGCCCCTTCCAAGTACCCATCTATCCATCCGCCCACCCACCCATCCAGTTAGGGGCATCATTTACTCACCAGTGTCGTTGGGGTACTTGTCTCCCTTGGTGCACGTCCTCCCGTCGTCCTCCTGGATGTAGCCCTCCCGGCATTCACAGCGGTAGCTGCCCAGGGTGTTGATGCAGATGTGTGCACACAGGGTCTCGTTGCTGGTGGCACACTCGTCGATATCTGGGTTTGAACCAAAGGCAGATGGCACTCAGTTTCCAAGAATTCACTTCCAACACAACAGGCGACATGAGTCTTGGCCCTTCTGTTTGTGTCTGCAAAGCACACTTTGCCAGACCTCTCTCAGAGAAGCCGGGAATACAGCCGGAAGCTAGACACCAGAGCAACAGGGACATGAAAGGCAGCGTCACCATGGTTACGACGGACCAGGGATGGGGCTCCTGCTCGCGCCTGCTGTTCTCCAGTCAGGTGGCTGGTGCGGACGCCGGCAGCCTTCCCCGGTCCCACCTGTCACACCGACAGAAGCGTGCCCTAAACATGCCGCAGGTGACACACTCTGAAAAGTGAGCATCGGAGAAATGGTTTTCTGCAAGACCTCCATGTTCCCTTTATGTTTGGCTATCGTTCCAAATTGCGTGTGGTGACCCGAGGTCACTCCGGAAGGGCCCCTTCCCAGTTAAGAGACGTGATGGTACCTGGGAAAAGCCACTTCTGATAAAAGAAAATAGTCATCATGGGTCTCATGGAGAGAGTTTTCCCCAGGAAACTTTGGCCTCATCCATGACCCAAACAGACCCCTCGTGAGCTGTGGAAATGAGCCGTGAGACCACCAAGCAAGTAACCGGTAGGAGTTTACGTGGAGCCGGCACATCACGGCCCCGCTTCCCTGCTGAGTGGGGTACAACGAATCTGTTCCCCGCCAGGAAGAAGAGAGGGTGCCGGATCTGCGTCCTGCCATTGGCGGCAGACACCGGGTGGCGGTGAGCGGGAGCCAGGACACGCAGTGGGGCCTGTGCACATGTGGCGGCTGAGAGAGCCCGGCCCTCACTTCTGGATTCAGACGACGACTCCCTGGACAGGCTGCCCGGACCTACCTCTGGCAGGCCCTGTGTGGGCCGAGGGGAGTGTGGTCATCTGCAGGCGACAATGTCACACAGCTGATCCTCCCGTTCCTCAGGCTGACCACCTCTCCTCAGGCCCCTGTCCCACATCTAAGCGTGATGCTGCCTCTGTGTCAGATGAGACTGACAGAAACGGGCGGAACTCGTAGCAGAGAGCTGGTTTTGCTGACCCCCAAATGAAAAGAACAGGGCACCGCGCCACAAATCAGAGCCCTTGTGCTTGGGCTCAGGGGCACGGAGTGGCATCCCCTGCTCTCTGTAGGAGAGATGGTCCCCACTCCATTCACATGGTAGCCTCAATCCCATTCCTTGGCAACATGGGGCGCCTTCCCAGGTACCCCCGGGAGAAGCCCAGAGACCTACTAACTTCTCTGGAATGGTTCTTTCCAGAGGCCCTGCTCATCTCTGCTCCTTTGCTTTGCACTGGGGCCCATGCGCCGCTCTCGGCTCATCCTCCAGCTGCTGCTCAATCTAGACTGTGCGCTGAGTCCCAGAGGCATCTGCATGCATGCAGACTTCCGAACCCCCTCAGAGTCTGGAGGGGAGGCCAGGCGTCCTTTCTATTTTTTTTCAGTGAGAACTCCAGATGTTTCTGAGACAGGTTCACCACAACTGATTGCACTTTGAAACGCGTGGCTCCGGGGGACAATAAGCCTGTCTCAGGAACTCAGAGGGCGGGGCTGGGGGAGGGAACAGGCCCGTGGGCTGCACAGCGCTGACTCTGCTCCCTGCAGCCCAGGTGGTTGGCTTCAGCGCCCTGACTCACTTCCAACCTGCCTGCCTCATGGACACTCCCCTTTCCAGCCTCCTCCTCCTCCTCCTCCTCCCGAGAGAATGCTTCCTCCCGCTTAGGTTTCCACATTCCTCCCCGCTCAACGTTCTGTGTTCCATCTGCTTTACATTGGATAATGTTCCCCTTTTCCTGCTGGCATATCTCACTGCCCATGAGGACCTGACTGGCACCACTCCCCGAAGAACTCCTTGGCCACTGTTGGTCTCGATAATCGAGGTGAAGGGCAGGGATCCCCCAGAAGGATGACAACAGACTGGAACTAGTAAGCATCGGGACAGAAGGGCAGGAATCACAGATCAGAGCGGCCCTGTGAGCTGGTCCTATGATGAAGAGCATCTGACACAGCCCAGAGCGGAATGAGGCACGAGTCAGGAGCTGGAAACAGACGCTGCCAACACACCCAGGCAGTAGGGCTTCTCCCGCCTCCGGTGCCTGTCGCGGTCATAGCGGTATCCAGGGTAACAGGTGCACAGCACGCGGCCGAAGTTATCTGTGCACTGCTGTTCACAGGGGGCCTCGGCACACACGTCATAATCTGAAAGAGAGAAATGTGAGCTCATATAAACCACTGTCACTCCTAGGCAGAGGTGGGTCACCTGGCTCTGGTCCAGAGCAGGCTTCCTGGGCTGCACTCTGCTCCAGGGCAAATGTGACGTGTGCCCGGCTGTGTCTGCAGGGGCGCGAGCTCTTCAGGCCGCAGGTGCCTCTGAGAAACGTGGTGCCAAGCGTCGCAGTGGTTAGAAGCAAACATCAACTGTGATTTCCCCTCGGGGTCACCTCCTCATCCGCGGGTCATTGTCCCTCATCCCGAGAGCAAAGGCGCTCTCGATGGCCAGGCTCTGCTCTGCAGCATTGCCTGGGCCTGTCTCTTACCCAGGGACTTCCTTCCCGCCCAACACTCAGGAACGGCCAGCCCTGGTGATGGGTGTTGTCCTCCTAATGGGGGGGAGCAGGGCTGGAAGTCAGGCCAGCTCCAGGGAGGGCGAGGGAGGCTTTGGACAGAGCTGTGTGTGAGTCAGTGTGCGTGTCGTGTGTGTTGTAGGGGTGCATGCCAGGGGGTGGGTTCTGCATGCTGAGAAGGGGCTGGGTAAGGCTGAATGGTAGGACATCTCGTTCTAGCCCGAAGCCCGTGGAAACTGGGGTGGGTGGTCTACTCCTCATAAAGACTTCGGGCACCTCCTCCTCTCCGTCCTTACTAACTGATATTTAACGAGCCTCTGAAGGGACTTGACTCTAAGTCAGGCGCTCAGGCGGCATGTTTACTGGCCGACTAGATCAGCATCCCATCAATCACCACACTGAATTCCCCAGGTGCTGACAGACGCATTATCCTTGGACGCGGCGTAAGCCTGGCTTCACTCTGCCACATATGAAGGCCAAGTGGTGGGCTGGCAGCCCCTGCTGTGGGCGGGGTCAGTGGGACAAGGCGCATGCCTTTCTCATGATGACCTGCAAAGCCACCCTGGATAAATACTTCTCTCTGCGATGGAGATTCCAGGTCTGCTTTGCTATGTGTGTGTCCCTGGTCAAATGTGTGGTCCTTGCCTAAGCAGCATCTCCAGGCAGCAACACTCTGTGCCCTACATTTCTCATGCTCACAGGCTCCCGCATGGCTATCGAATGCCTACTCTCTGCCAGGTCCTATTCTAGGAGATGCCGCATTAAGGTGAGGTGCAGGGTCTGGAGGCAACCCTCCCAACTCTGCCACGATCTGCGATATTGGGTTCTTTCAGCCTCAGTTTCCTTGCCTATAAACCAGGGTAACAGTAATACCGACTTCGTGGTGCTTTTATGAGATCACATAGGATGAGGCATTCAGCACAATGCCTGATGGGCAGCGAAAGCTTCTTAAATTCCTAGTTCTTACACCTGTTCGGGCACCTGGTGGGGACCATGTCCTCTGGAGTAACAGCAGTACTCTCTTCCTATAGTTTATGCTCAATTATTAATTGTTGAACTAGGATAAATCAGATCACCCTGTCACCTGGCCAATTCAGATAACAGAGCGCCGGCCGGGGTGGTGGGTGGATGTTGTGGCAAAATGTATCTGGTTGGCCAGATCATATTTTTGGCTTTGCAGGCCTTTGTTGCAACTACTCAGCTCTGCTGCTGTTGGGCGAAAGCAGCCACAGACATCACTTAAATTAATAGGTATCACTGTGTCCCAATAAAACTTTATTTACAAAATCAGGCAGTGGGCCAGATCTGGCCCACAAGCATAGGTTGCTGACTCTTGACTTACAACAACACATATGAGGCAATAACACTCTTTTAATTACAACTTCTACTCTTTATTTAGCATATTTTTTAGAAATTCTAGTCACTTTTTACTATCTGTGATGGTTAATTTTATGTGTCGACTTGGCCAGGCCACATTACCCAGGTATTTAAATGGTTAAGCATCATTCTAGATGTTTCTGTGAAGATATTTTTTAGGCGAGATTAACATTTAAATCAGCAGACTTTGAGCAAAGCAGATTACCCTCCACAGTGATGGTGGGCCGCATCCAATCAGTCAAAGGCTTCAGTAGAAAGAAGATTGGGACTTCCGGTGAAGATGGCGGGTAGGTAAATGTGGTATCACGTCCTCCCACAACCACATCAAAGTTACAACTAAACTACAGAACAACCATCCTTCAAAACCGCCTGAAATCAAGCTGAATGGAAGTCCTACAACTACGGAATTAAAGCAGCAGCCACATCCAGACTGGTAGGAGGGCGGAGGGGTGAGGAGCTACCGGCTGGTCCCACACCCACGTGTGGTGGATAAAAATCAGGAGGACACCTTGTCTGGGAAGGTCCTTCCTGAGGACTGAGGGGTCCCTGTCCCACACCAGGCACCCCACTCAGGGTCCCAGTGCCAGGAAGAGAATCCCCATAACTTCTGGCTGGAAAAACCAGCGGGAACTGAGGCTCAGGGAGGCTGAGGCGGCCAGAGCCCCAGGCGGCTCCTTAAAGGGCCCGCGCACGAACTTATCGGACTCTCTCCCTCTAAGCTTGGAGGGGAGGCAGCTCGAGGGGCACCAGAGACATACAGGGAAGAACTGAGCTGTTTGGCACTGGAGCGAGGACTGGAGAGGGGGCTTTCTCCGGGACAAACATTCTGTCAGAGGCCTTTGTTCCTTTGGTGAGCCCTTCCCCGGGGCGGCAGACAGTCGCCATACCTGGGACTCCAGCAACCTGGCTCACACTGGTAGCCCCGCCCTGGTGACTCCCTGAGGCCCCGCCCCACCCCACCCAACTTTCAGGCCCACCCAAGCTGTTGCCACTTCTTTAACCATAGGATTGGCCTGTCTTGGATCCTGCTTCAGGTTTTCCTAAATTCTTTCAAACGAGCAGCATCTGGTCTCAGCCCGATACCTCTCGTTCAGTAATACATAGAAACAAACACAGGGAGGCAGCCAAAATGAGGAGACAAAGAAACGGGTCCCAAATGAAAGAACAGAACAAAACCCCAAGAAAAGAACTAAGCGAAATGGAGATGAGCAACCTAACAGATGCTGAGTTAAAAATACTGCTTATAAGGATGTTCAATGAACTTAGTGAGGGCCTCAAGAGCATAAAAAAGGACCAGTCAGAAATGATAGAAGCACAGTCAGAAATTAAGGAGGCATTAACTGAAATAAAGAATAATTTATGCAGATTCAATAGTAGAGTATGTAAATCCAAGACGTAAACCATCGATTTGGAATATAAGGAAGCAAAAAACGCCCAATAAGAACAGCAAAAAGAAAAAAGAATCCAAAAACATGAGGATAGTGTAAGGAGCCTCTAGGACAACTTCAAGCGTGCCAACATTCGCATCTTGGGGGTGCCAGAAGGAGAAGAGAGAGAACAAGAAGTTGAAAACCTGTTTGAAACAATAATGGCAGAAAACTTTCCTAACTTGTTGAAGGAAACAGACATACAAGTCCAGGAAGCACAGAGAGTCCCAAACAAGATGAACCCCAAGAGGCCCACACCAAGACACATCATCATCAAATTGCAAAAGGTTCAAGACAAAGAGAGAATCTTAAAAGCAGCAAGAGAAAGGCAGCTAGTTACCTACAAGAGAGTTTCCATAAGACTGTCAGCTGATTTCTCAAAAGAAACTTTGCAGGCCAGAAGGGAGTGGCAAGAAATATTCAGAAAGATGAAAAGCAAGAACCTACAACCAAGATTACTCTATCCTGCAAAGCTGTCATTTAGAATCGATGGCCATATAAAGAGTTTCCCAGACAAGAAAAAGTTAAAGGAGTTCATCACCACTAAACATTATATGAAATGATGAAGGGTCTTTTTGAAGAAAAAGATAAAATATATGAACAAACTAAATGGCAATGAATACATATCTATCAACAATGGAATCTACAAAGAAAATGAATAGGTAGAACAGAAACATTCTCATAGATACAGAGAACATTTTGTTGGTTGCCAGATGAAAGGGGAGTTGGGGGAATGGGGAAAAAGTTGAAGGGATTAAGAAGTACAAATTCAGCCCTGGCCAGTTTGGCTCAGCGGTTAGAGCGTTGGCCTGCGGTCCGGAGAGACCTGGGTTCGGTTCCCGCTAAGGGCATGTACCTCGGTTGCAGTTTGTCCCCAGCCCTGGTTGGTTGTGCGGGTGGCAGCCACTCGATGTGTCCTTTTCACGTTGATGTTTCTCTCTCTCTCTCCCTCCCTCCCACTCTATCTGTACAAAAAATGGAAAAATGTCCTCGGGTGAGGATTAAAAAAAAAAAAAAAGAAGTACAAATTCATTGCTAGACTGACAAACCTCAAAGGGAAAGGGGTTGGGGGGCGGGAAGAAATAAACCAAAGAACTTATATGCATAACCAATGGACACAGACAATAGTGTGGGAAAAGGTGGGAGGGGGTGGGAGTGGGGAGGAGGGCGTCAATGGGGGAAAAATGAGGAACATCTGTAATACATTCTACATTCAATGATAAAGATTTAAAATTTAAAAAAAAGAAAAAGAAAAAAGATTGGACCACTTCTGACACCCCTAAAGATGGAATCCCGTCAGCAGACAGTCTCTCGATTCAAACTCTGGTCTCTCCTGGGTCTCCAGTCTGCCGGTCTCCTCTGCAGATTTTGGAGCTGCCAGCCTCCCGTCTTGTCAACCAATTCCTTGAGACTTAGTCTCTCTCAGGGATGCTAACTAACATACCATCTTTTCTGAGATCCTGCATTTATACTTTGTATTTTGGGGCAATAGAAACCTTTAGGACTAAAGTAAAAGACAAACACACAAATCCTGGCTTATTGTCACCGATGAAAACAAATGAGCTTCTGAAGGTGGTCTAGAGAAAGCAGCAGGGCCTTGTGAGACACGACCGAGCGCGTTCGGCCCCTGAGCCACGCTTCCCGGAAATACTCAGCTCTAGTTACAGTACTCGTAGGTGCTGCGGTCCTGTTTTAGGGCGAGGGAGACTGATGTTCGGCCTAGACGTTTGAAACCAAGCACCTACCATTTAAAGGCACTCTAAGGATGTGGCAGCCACGTAATGCATTTTTAATTAGTTTGGGCAAGGTCTGTAGCTGGGATCTTAAAATGACTGGCCTGAACTTAATTTTCTTTCAGTAGCTATCATGTCGAAATGGAAAAGACACAGCTGGTGATGAGCAAAGCTGGCTCATAAAAGAATGCGATTATTTGAATGTCTGTGGTTTTTCCCACCAAGCTCTCACGGATGGAAATGGCTGGCAGTGAGAAATTCGGTCCTGCAGAGACCCATCTAAACCATCACAGGGATGAGATTTCCTAACCAGCCCTCCTCACCCAGCTTTCTCAGAGGTCACAGCCACGGATTCATGAACTCTGCCATCCTTCCACCGCAGAGAGCAATCCATGAGATAACACAGCATGGATTAGCTTGGCTGGGCTCAGAGACCTGGCTCCTTGGGCAACAGGAAAATCTTTCACACTGCACTGTCTGTCCCCAGCCTGGGCACACTAAGCTCATGTCCTGCAGATGGTTCCTAGTGTGTCCTGCCAGTACTGGAAGCCTTTGCAGCCTCCCTCCTCCTGCACGTCTAGGTCCCGAGCCGCCTTCCCAGATCACCTAGCTCGAGTCTCCCTCCTCCTGGAGCAGCGGTTCTCAACCTTCCGAATGCCGCGACCCTTCAATACAGTTTCACCCCCAGCCATGAAATTATTTTCGTTGCTACTTCATAACTGTAATTTTGCTACTGTTATGAATCTCCATCGGAAATATGTGTTTCCCGATGGTCTTAGGTGACCCCCAAAGGGGTCTTGACCAACAGGTTGAGGACCGCTGTCCTAGAGGCTGCCTCTGACCACCTGGTCTCCTGTGCCAGGTGTCCCCGCTGCACACTGGCTGCACTGCAGGCCTTGAGACACGTATTTTAGTCATTATTAATAACGGCAGCAACAGTAACGGCAACCACCATTTACCAAGACTTCACAAGAGCTAGCCTCTGTTCCAAGTACTGTATATGTGGTAATACTCTTAAAACAACCACATAAGGGACTCCCAGTCAAGATGACATCTAAGTAAACTTGGTCTCACCTCCTCCCACAACCACATCAAAATTACAACTAAACTACAGCACGACCATCCTTCAGAACCGCCTGGCATCGAGCTGAATGGAAGTCCTACGACTACGGAATTAAAGCAGCAGCCACACGGAGACTGGCAGAAGGGCGGAGGCAGAGAGGCTGGTCCCACACCCACGTGTGGCTTATAAAATTCAGGAGGACACCTTGGCTGGGAAGGTCCTCCCTGAGGACTGAAGGGTCCCCGTCCCACACCAGTTGCCAGCTCAGGGTTCCAGTGCCAGGAAGAGAGTCCCTATCACTTCTGGCTGTAAAACCAGCGGGAACTGAGACTGAGGGAGGCTGAGGCTGCTGGAGCCTCAGGCAGCTCCTCTTAAAGGGCCCGCACACGGACTTACTCGGACTTGCTCCTTCTGGGCTCCAGCGTGGGGGAGGCAGCCTGAAAGGCACCGGAGACATACGAGGAAATACTGAGTTGTTTGGCATCTGGGTGAGATCTGGATGGAGAGCTTTCTCCTGGACAGACGTGCTGTCAAAAACCGTTGATCCTTTGGTGGGCCCTTCCCTGGGGTGGCAGACGGCCGCCATATCTGGGACTCCAGCAACATGGCTCACACTCTTTGCCCCACCCTGGTGATTCCCTGAGGCCCTGCCTCATCCAATTTTTGGGCCCACCCAAGCTGTTTCCAATGGCTTTATCATAGGATTGGCCTGTCTTGGATCCTGCTTCAGATTTTCCTGAAATCTCTCAAACAAGGAGCATCTGGTCTCAGCGAGCTCCATACCTCTCATCAAGTGGCCCCAGGCCTGGCACTAGAAGGAGCCAGCCTTGGTTCATAACTTGGCTTTGCCTGGGCACCTCCAAGCCCAGCACAAGAAGCAGCCATTGGCAGATCACTTTGTAGCTTAAGCCTGGTGGCCCCGGGTAGAACACAGACAGAGGCTGACCTGGCCCCAGAGCCAGCACACCTAGTGGACAGCTTCAGGCCATATCGAAATACCACCACCCAACCACCTCCACAAGTGACACACTCAATGAGCAAACTCAGTAGACACCAGCATCCTGCTGAAGTAAGTCTTGCTCTGTGTGTTGGGCCCTACACAGCTGATCCTCCAAGGGACTCAGAGGCCAGTGGTCAGTGGGCACAGCCAGTCTTTGCAGCTGATCAGCCTGAGTAAATCCCTCCCATTGATGTGCCTACAGCAATCAAGACTCAATTATAACTGAAGGGTGTACAGTTCACACTAGGGGTGCACCTCGAGGGCCCAGTTAGGTGATCAGGAAGACTGGATCCTACAGGACACCTACAACAATAGGCCACCCTATGAAGCCTAGGAGACATAGCAACTCTACCTAATACATAAAAACAAACACAGGGAAACAGTCAAAATGAGGAGACAAAGAAACATGTCCCAAATGAAAGAAAAAGAACAAAACTCCAGGAAAAGAACAAAACAAAATGGAGATAAGCAATCAATCAGATGCAGAGTTCAAAACACTGGTCATAAGGATGCTCAAGGAACTTCATGAGAACTCCAAGGAACTTAGTGAGGACATCAACAACATAAAAAGAACCAGTCAGAAGTGAAGGATGCACTAACTGAAATAAAGAATAATTTACAGAGAATCAATAGTAGAGTAAGTAAAGCCAAGAAGCAAATCATCAATTTGGAGCATAAGGAAGCAAAAAACAAAACAAAACAAAACAAAAAAACACTCAATCAGAACAGCAAAAAGAAAAAAGAAGCTAAAAAAATGAGGATAGTGTAAAGAGCCTCTGGGACAACTTCAAGCGTGCCAAATTTTGCATCATGGGGGCGCCAGGAGGAGAAGAGAGAGAACAAGAAATTGAAAACCTACTTGAAAAAATAATGATAGAAAACTTCCCTAACTTAGTGAAGGAAACAGACATACAAGTCCAGGAAACATAGAGAGTCCCAAACAAGATGAACCCAAAGAGGCCCACACCAAGACACATCATCATCAAAATGCCAAAGGTTAAAGACAAAGAGAGAATCTTAAAAGCAGCAAGAGAAAAGCAGTTAGTTACCTACAAAGGAGTTCCCATAAGACTGTCAGCTGACTTCTCAAAAGAAACTTTGCAGGCCAGAAAGGAGTGGCAAGAGATATTCAAGGTGATGAAAAACAATGACCTACAACCAAGATTACTCTATCCTGCAAAGCTATGGCTTAGAATCGATGGACATATAAAGAGTTTCCCAGACAAGAAAAAGCTAAAGGAGTTCATCAGCACCAAACCAGTATTATATGAAACGTTGAACGGTCTTCTTGAAGAACAAAAATATGAACAATAAAATGGCAATTAATACATATCTATCAACATTTGAATCTACAAACAAAATGAGCAAGCAGAACAGAAACAGACTCATAGATACAGAGAACTTTTTGTTGTTTGCCAGATGGGAGGGGCTGAGGGAATGGGTGAAGAAGGTGAAGGAATTAAGAGGTACACATTGATTGTTAGACTGATGAACCTCAAAGGGAAGGGGGGAGGGAGGGTGGGATGATATAAACTAAGGAACTTCTATGCATATATGCATAACCAAAGGACACAGACAATAGTGTGGGGAAGGCAGGAGAGGGGCAAGATTGGGGAGGAGGGTAACAATGAGGGGAAAAGAGAACATCTGTAATACATTCAACAATAAAGATAAGTTAAAAAAAACCAAAAAACACCACATGAGTCAAGTACTAATACTTTCCTGCAAAAATTAAGGCTTAGAAAGTAACTCACCCAAGTCATAGTCAGTAGGATGTGTTATGGATGAAATGTTTGTATCCTCCTGAAATCCGTATGTTGATATCCTAACTCCGATGTGATGGTCTTAGGTGGGGCTTTGGGAAGTGATTCAGTCATGAGGCGAAGTCCTCATGAGTGGGACTGGCCTTATAAAAGAGACCCCAGACAGCTCCTTTGCCTTTTCTGCCATGTGAGGACACAACAAGGTAGGTGTGTGTGAACCCGGAAACTTTCACCAGATACTGAATCTTCCAGCACGTGGACCTTGGACTTCCCAGCCTTTAGAACTGTGAGGCATAAATGTTTGTTCTTTAAGCCACCCATCTATGCTTTTTGTTGCAGCAGGCTGAATGGACTAAGACAAGGCAGAACCATGATGAAAACCCAAGTCTCTGATTTTGCACTGTCGAGACTCATCTACTCAGCTGGAGGTTGGGGGCCTTGCGGGCTGTCTCTGTCCCTTCAAGGCTGGGATGCACACAGGGCTTGCTGACGGTCGTGTGAAGGGGCTTTAGGTTTAACCCGTGAAAAGCAGGTAGAGAGGTAGGGGCAGGACACTATGTTCTGTGATATGCCGGTTAGAGAATTACTCAATGTATGTATACATGTGTGTAATGATTTAGATAGAGCATGATACATGGAACCCAACTGGCATTAGAAAAACTTAATGCCCCCAAATAGAAATTACATACACACATGCACAGATAATCAGACACAGATAACACACATACATTCCAGGTACATCTGAACTTTATAGACATTTGATGATTAGTCATGAATAAGGTGAAAAGACATAATCTTTTATATTACATACCTTCTGGGATGCATTGTCCAAGAACAAACTTATACCCTTTGCAGCACTTTTTCCTAAGAGACAAACAAACAAAAACACATTTTAAGCGGGATATGTTAGATAAAAAATATATTTCTTTCCAGTCATTGGTTTTGAATGAATAACTGCCCAGGAAGAACCGAGGCACAGAGAAAAGCCAGGGTGAGTTATTTTAAAGGAAATCGAAGATAATATCACATGATCTCATCTAATGGCAAAATATCCTCCTCACCATATAATATTTGAAATTAATCCTTTGTATCCCATGAAGTGAATTAATTAAAAGATTTCAAGATACTTATATTAGATAATTACAGGTCTGTAGGATGTAAGTATGAAAAGGACCTTTATGGCTGACCTGGCCCATCCTCCTACACACCAAGATTCACATAACTCGCTAATTATAGTCACAATTAGCTCAGTGTAATGGTCCCTGGATAATTATAACATAACGATTGCTAATTATACTGTAAGGCAGGGACTGATCCCCAAGCATCCTAACTCCGACCGAAGGCTGCTTTGCTGCCTGAACCATGGAAGGTAGTGGAAGGGACCTACATGAGCTACGGTGGAAAAACAGCAACCAGCCAGTCCCTAACGTCAACGTCCAAGTCTTACGTCTCCGCCAGGGCAGAGAGATGGTGTCATTGGTTCCAAATGGAAATCTGCACTGGACAGGTTCCCGCTTGGGTAGGAGGCGTGAGCTCCTAACAGACCAGCCCCTCTGCACATAAATGCTATACACTCCGGACAAAAGAGAGTCAGTCAACTACACAGCAGTTCTGGAGAGTAATCAAAGAGTGAATCGAGAGTAAATCAAAGCAGGCAGGCTTAGGAAGAGAGTTGAAATTTTGAACAAGGGACCAACACAGGGTAATTATTGTTAGAAATAGTCAAAGGTGGGAACTAAAGCAAGCGCCCACCTGTGTCAAATGGTCAGAACCTTCAACCAGGTTAGGCAAGGCCTTCTGCCGAAGAACTTTGACATACTTAGATGTCTTTTTCCATCACATTGTAGTAAAAAAATTTTAACAGCATTATTTTCTATGTTCGCAAAGTAGTATATTCCATGCTACTGGTTAAATACATTCTTGTGGACTGCTCTGCTGGGTGAGTCACCACCTCCCAGGTGTAAGAGAAACTCCAGCAATCTCTTCCTAAAACTTTAAAACTGCAGAGAAATTTTATTCAACCCGTCACTTATAAGTTTTTCATAGAGTTTGTGAAAAATGTACACAACCTACAAACATCACATCTGGCAGGAGACGTTTCTGTGGCCCCGGGACACCGCCTCCTTCCTCCCGCAACATGGCCTGGGTGCAGCCCAGCTGCAATCGACAATCTTACTTCGAACGCACAAGACGTGGGCTGCCACTATAAAAATATTTGTTCTTTTTTTAAAATTTTTTACCCTTACCTGAGGACATTTTTGCATTCATCTTCAAATAGAGCAGGAGGTGAGAGAAGGAGGAAGAGAAAGAGAGAAATATCGAGTGGTTGCCACCCAGACAGCCTCAACCGGGGCTGGGGACAAACTGCAACCTAGGTACGTGCCCTTAGTGGGAACTGAACCCGGGACTCTCTGGTTCGCAGGCCGGCGCTTTAACCACAGAGCCAAACCGGCCAGGGCCCACTATGAAAATATTTGGGATGCTCCCGAAATAGACTCCAGTGAAGTAGCTGACGGTCCCCTGCCCTGCAAAGGACACCTCTGCCTGCCTGTAGTCGTCCACTCAGGAGACTATTTGAATCTCTTGCTGTTGTTGTTAATCCTCACCCGGGATATTTTTCCATTGATTTTTAGAGAGAGAGGGAGGGAGGTTGGGAGGGAGGGACAGAGAGAGACACATCAATTGGTTGTCTCCTGCACAACCCCAACTGGGGCTGGGGATTGAACCTGCAATCCAGATACATGCCCTTGACCAGATACATCCAACCTGTGACCCTTCAGTCTGAGGGCCGACGCTCTCACTGCTGAGCCAAACTGGCCAGGGCTATTTTGAATCTTCGTTGCAATTGTACGGTGATTCCTTACTGCACTGCGTGGGGCTGTACAACAGCATATTTTATGTCAAAAGGTATATATATATATTTAATGTATATATTTTAATGTATAGTTATATATTTATTCATATATAAAGTGTACTGATATGAATGGTAAATGACAACGTCCAGAGGTTTCCCCATTAGACATAATTTCCCACCATCTCCAGCTGAATTGTTAGTTTATATAATAAAAAAAGCCCATGGGACATGTATGAATTTATGACAATTCCTATTTCTAACAAAGGTAGAGAATCTACCTCTATAGTCCATGAAGCGTCAACCCTGCCTAGTTTTCTGTGGTTTAAGGAAGACCAAGTTCCTAACAACCAAAAAGAGAACTGGCGTAACTGAGTATTCGTTGCAATTGTACGGTGATTCCTTACTGCACTGCGTGGGGCTGTACAACAGAAAACTGGAAGAGCAGAAGGGTGCGCTCTATGGTCGGGAACTCGAGTGATTCATGAGAAGCTTGGAGGGAGGGGAAACACGTGTTTTTGATACTCACGTCTCAGGGGTAACAGCACATTTAAACATATGGTTCTATTTCACTTTTCCCACCTAACTGGTGTATCTAAAGTGTAGCCTCAGAGATGTTCGGAGGCATTTTAAAGTTCATGCAAATGGATGCAATCCTGATCGTCTCTCTTTCTGCATCTAAGACATTAGTGTTCTGACCTTTTTGAGCATTTCAAGGGCTTGGGACTGTCCACACAGTGGAGTCCAAAGTAACCTGTCCTTTGCCTTTTTTACAAAATTAAGTGGGAATGCAGTGATTTGATATGTTTTCAAAAGGTCACGGAGCTACGTCAGGAGCAGATCCAAGGTTTGGAATGGGCACGCTCCATTTAAATACCTGCTGGGCTAAGAAGTACCTCCCCCCCCTGGCTGTTTTTCATAATTGCAAAACCAATGCCAGGTCTCTGCTGGAGAGGAGGTGGTTTGAGATGCCTCCACACCCTCCTCTCTCCCAGAATTCCTGGGGCTACAGCTTACTTTGCATGATAAACACCCATCCATCATAAATCATCATTTAGAGTAAACGATGAAATATTCCAAAGTATATTTTTTTTAAAAAACCAACAACACTGGCTGCCCATGTTACATGGATTCAAAGACGACTGAGAACCTAATTTGCGTATAAGGACATTGAGGCAGCCCGTGTGACAGCGCCTCCCAGTACGAAGCACTTGTTAGCCCTAACTACAAACACAGCCCTGTGGTTTTTATCCTCAAGCAAAACAAACTGAGCCGGGGAAAGCTCCTGTGGCTTCAGGGGAGGCGCCCTTCTTAATGTGCCTCACGTGTCGCGGCTCCGTTTTCCAAATGCAAATCCTCCCCTCATTTCTTGGCAAGAGGACGCGGTGATCAGACGGCTGTTCCCCAGAAAGGGCGACATCTGGTAATCAGGAACGGCTGCAGAGGTTCCCCTGGGTGCCTCCAAGCAGTCACCCACACACAACACCATAAATAAAATCCGCGCAGCCCAAACTCTATCCCATCAACCACCGTACGTGAAAGCTTTTGGAAGGAAAAGCTCCATCAAGGCAACGAAAATAACGGCGACACTGTCATCCAACTGTCTGCTGTCCGTTATCAGATTCCAGACAAGAATTTAAAAAAAAACAACTACTTACAGAATGAGGGGATGGGAAGGGACTTCAAAAGGTCAAGCTAGTCAGTAGGCAAGAAATATTTCAACACTTGCTCCGAGGCAACAGTAAATTTTCTTAAGATTTACTTGGGGTTTTCTTTCCAGAACTGCCTAGACATGCACCAGATATACCCGATTTTTTTTTTTTTTTTTAATGAGAGAACAAACTGCACTGCTGAGAGTTCTTGGTGTCAAGCTGCGCACAGTCGGTGGGCCGTGGTTTTAGGGTCAGGCGACTCGGGTTCCCTGTCCTGGCTCTGCCTATGGAAGAGCTCAGGATGTGGCCTCGGGCTCATGTCTGAAACTCACGGGGCTTTAGATTCTTCATGGATAAAACATGAACAATACTATTTGCTTTACAGGATTATCACTGAGTACAGATTGTCAAGGTGCCCAGCACAGGGCCTGTGTCAGGGTCAGAACGGTGTTCTAGCTGCAGTTTTCTGTTTTTTTTTTTTTTTTAACCTCACCTAAGGATATGTTTTTATTGATTTTAGAGAGCGAGGAGGGGAAAAGAGAGAGAGAGAAACGTTGATCAGTTGCCTCCCATACGCACCCTGATCAGGGATCAAACCCACAACCTCGCCACGTTTTGGTGTATGGGATGATGCTACAACCAACTGAGCCACTAGGCCAGGTTTTTTTTGTTTGTTTTTTTAAGAGCTATAACATTTCTTTCTTTCTTTTTTTTAATTGAATTTATTGGGGTACAGATTTCAAGTGTACAACTCAATAAAACACCGTCGGCTCACTGCGTCGTGCACCCATCGCCCCATCAATCAGGGAGGAAATGAAAAAGCGTGGTTCATGCACACAGTGGAACCTGATGAACATGGCAAGGAAACAGCAAAGGCCACTCCACTCAGATACTTTCACCTTAAGACTCATCTCTTTCTTCCACTCCTCATCAAGGGCAGATGTCATCTCTTCTCCTATAGGGGAGGCAGGGAAACCTCTGATTTCAAGGTGATGGAAAAGCCGTATTGTTGTCTTCTTCCACAAGTTGACCCCAAATAATGAGAACACAGAATGAAATGCAGACTCATATCCCTTGGGTTCAGGAGACTTCTCTAACTCTGAACGTGGCCAGCGGAAGGATGGGTGGGAAGTGCCTTGGAGAGAGGAGCAACTTCACCCCTACGTGCTTCCAGAGAAGCTCACCATGGAGCAAGTCTCAGAGACACCGGGCACTGAAGAAAGTGGAGGCCAGAAAAGAGCAAGATGAGCTGAAAGTCTGGTTAGAAGTTGGACTTCCAGCCTTCCCACCCCAAGCAGTTAGCCTGATACCCTTTTCCCACTCCTGCAAGAGGCAGAAGGTACACATTCGTGAAAACTGTA